ATTTATAATATATTACTTACTAATCAGTATTCATAATATCGTATTATCTTTATTTTTTATCAGTATCACAATTCTTATGGTTGCAAAATTATTTCAGTCCATCCTTCCTTGGTCCCCTTCCTAATTGGCTTGGTTCTTATTATAATTCGAGACAGTTTCGAGACACTACAAGCTCGTCTCTTCCATGCCCTACAACCTGATATCGTCTAGCCCCATTACCTTTCGAAAAATTATTAGATAGTTTGATAATACTTTGCAGCACTCTTCTTATGGTTGCAAAATTATTTCCAATAATGATTCATCCCCCCTTTTCCACCCACCCCCTTTGACCCCCTCTCTCTCTCATTGGTTACATTTTCTTTTTCTTTTTCTTTTTTTTCCTGCTCCTCCAATCACCACCCGCCACGTGGCAAAGGGGGTGAGGGGGTGACCCCCAAAAGGGGGTCCCAAGCATTATTCAATTATTTCATTCCATCCTTCGTTGGTCCCCTTCCTAATTGGCTTGGTTCTTATTATAATTCGAGACAGTTTCGAGACACTACAAGCTCGTCTCTTCCATGCCCTACAACCTGATATCGTCTAGCCCCATTACCTTTCGAAAAATTATTAGATAGTTTGATAATACTTTGCAGCACTCATCGTGAGATAGTAATTCACACACTTAATAAAAATCACTACAAACCTACCTTTATCAACTCAGAATTTATTCAAAAAAAGAAATTAATGGTTTAAAATCATTTTACTCATAGATCTCACACTTTATCAATTTAATTTTCACCATACAAAATTATTCGAGATAAATTATGAATTCATAAGAGTGGAATCCTAACATTTTTCACCTAATAAGTATCCTTAGTGTCATTTACTCCTCTTATGAATTCGAGCAATGTTGATCGAGAAAATCTCAATGTGTATGCTTACTAATACCTCATCTTATCAGCAAAATGGGGTGTTCAAAGATTTTGTGACCTTTGGCACATTTCTGGAAAACAATTGTTATCTTTAAATTTTTTGTATCAGAATGTTTTATTTATTTATTTATTTATTTGCATTAGTAATTTTAATATTGAGTTTGGCTTTTGTTTTCATTAGTAGCATAGTGTTTTTCTGTTGTGGATTGTATCTATAGTAGGAATCGCACTAACTAGTTGCTTGCTTTGTGTAAATGTGATTAGCATTTCTATCTACTTTCAAATATTACACCTCATGGCATGTTTCACTAGATATTTAGTTGTATATATAATCGAACATGAAACAATTCATAATATTGTAATTCCTGGTGGATTTAAAGATGGTTTATAATCTTTGCATTTTATTGAAATGCTTTATATCCCTTCAAACAATAAGAGAATTGTTTGGAATTTTAATTGGTGTATTGTATTGTAATTTGAATAGAATTCACCGTACTGATTTGGTCTTCTGATGAATCAACTCATTGATCCTCTTGACCCATCTTTTCCTCATTGATTGCTCTATGTCCTGCTTGGAATCCATTAGAACCTTGTAGTAATCTCGTGACATATTGCACAGCACTTGCCCAAACTTTTGCCTTCCTTTCCATGACTAGACCTTTTTTATGGCTCATTGAATATGGCATGTCTGTAATGTTGAGAACTAGCAACGGTACCATTAGCCTTCTAATCTGATGCTATTATAACCTGGCAAACCTTAAGCCTAAATAACATGATAACAGCCTGTAGATTCACAAGAATTTATCAATAGTTGTTGCAAGGTTTATTGGAGGATTGTTTGAGGGACTTTCATAATTGATTTTCGTAGGCACAACTAGCAAGTTGGTCCCAGAGATATGTTTGTAGGTCTTGCTTCCAACTGATCCATAAGTTATACCTCTCCTAGTCACTGACATACTAGTTCCTCAACTAATGTAGTCCTTTAAGGGTTTAAAGGTGCAGCCATAGATCTGGTTCAAGTTTTTCCCAGAGTTAAAAACACTTCAGGTTGTGTCCTCTATTCTTTACTGATCCAAAGAAAAAAAATAAACAAATTGTTTTGGGTACATGTTAGATAATCATTGCCATATTACATGATACAGAAAAGAAACAAATTTGGTGGGGCTTAGCATCCACCTGCACATGGGAACAAGTTCTGCTGGAAGGCCCAGTGGTAGGACATGGCCCTGAACCAACGGGGCTAACCCATAAGCCCAAAACAACCAATTAGTTAGAAGTAGGAATGACAACGGGGCGGGGCGGGGCCGGGGATTACCCTCTCCGTCCCCGATCCCCGATTGAGAAAGTCTCCCCGGCCCCGGCCCTGGCTCCAATCCCCGACGGGGATCCTATCACCGTTCCCATCCCCGTCCCCTAACGGGGATTGGTGTTCCCCGACCCCGAAAATTCCCCGGCCCAAATCTGTTATGGTCAACAATACTATCAACAACATCAACAATAGCAACAACAGCATAATCGTTCAAATAAAAATAAAAAAAAAAAAATCTATTTCAACGCATGCTGTGTAATATATATACATAGAAAAATCTGTTTCAACACCATACATAAAAAAATTTGTTTCAACACCATACATGTACAAATCTATATACAACACCATACTGTCTACATATTTATACCTGTGTAATAAAAATAAAAAATCTGTATATATGCATACTGTCTAAACATATGTAACATACACATACAAAAATTTGTTTGAACGACGAAGGAGGATCGGCGTTGTGGAGAGGACGATCGGCGTCGAGGACGAGGATCGGCGTTGAGGACGACTCTCGGCGTCCCAGACGCAGATCGGAGGGAGGCAGTGATGGAGATCGGGGTGAGGCAGTGAGGTTAGAAGGAGGGAGATGAGAGGGAGGGGGGGAGGGAGATCAGCATGAGAAGGAGCGGCCGACGCCGACGCCGGCGCCATCGCCATGAGCATTGCAGCAGAGAGAGGGAGAGCATCGCAGATTTGCAACAGAGAGAGGGAGAGCATTGCCTAGAGAAGAGAGTGTGAGTGGGAGAGAGGAGTGAAATGAAATGAGATAAAATGAAATAACCTAAACACATATACTATATATATTCGGGGACATATACGGGGTGTACTCGGGCCGGGGCGGGGCCGGGGCTGGAGTTGGGAAATCTATCCCCGTTCCCGGCCCAAAAATCATCGGGGATCAGATTTTTAATATCATCCCTGACCCTATGGGGATAAATTTCGAGGAAAAACCGTTCCAATCGGGATCGGGGTATCGGGTTCCCATCAGGCCAGGTTTAAATTGCCATCCCTAGTTAGAAGTCCTATTCCCCCACTTGCTTATTGGTTTCTCTCTCCTATTTATTTGAAGACTTCTCTCTCTTACTTTGATAATTGTATGTGTTTGTAATTTCCCTATTTATGATGTAAACTAGGGGTGTAACTCGAACGGGTTCGGTCGGGTTGGGAGATTGTCTAAACGCAGCCCAAGTTGTGCTGAGATCTGCCCAAGCCCGCCTAGGTCCGAATTTTAACCCGAGATTGCCTGTCCAAGTCCGACCAAATTAAACTCGAATTGCCCGAATTGTAAATCAATTTCAATTTTTTTTTTGTTTTTTACTTTTTTTTTTCCAGCTACATTATTAAATTATTAAACTTTGACTCTATTTACATTTTTTTTATTATAGAAAATCATTAACACTATTAAAACAAATAATTTATATAATGTAAGAAAGATACCTTTATAGTAGTCTTTACAATTTATTAGTGAAAATAAAAAAAGTAAGATTTTATACTATTTGTATATATAATATATATTCAATATAATTTAATAATCTAAATTATTTTAATATTATGTAATGGCTAATAATTTATATATATATTTAATATTTTTATATATTTATATATGTATAATTCGGACTTCAGATTGCTTGGGTTATTTGATATCTTTGCCCAAACCCGCCCAAATTTAATGCGGGCTTCCAAAATATTTGCCCAAACCTGTACCGAATTTGAAAATATCTTGTCCAAGCCCTAAAACAAATTGGACTAGGTTCGGATTACTCGGGTTGAGCCCGCCCAAGTTGCACTTCTAATGTAAACAGAATAGAACAGGCCATAAAATTGGATTTCTACGTCCAATTTTCGATCAATTGTAAACTTATTGTGTTGGGCCCTTTAACATGTTTTAGGTCAGATAGTAGGATATATGAAGCTGAATTTTTACCAAGGGACAGCAAAACTTAAGTTTATGAGCAAAAATTGAACCATATAATAGGAGGATTAAGACCCAAAAAAATATTTTTAAAAAAATGGCTGGTGTGTGCACATATTGTCTCATTAATTTGAAATTAGTGAATTTTGAGTTCTTAAATGTCCACAATGCTTTGCATTGTTTTAATTTAGTTGGGTTGTGACATCATCAGTCGTCCACTAAACTTTAGAGTGGTTGGTTTGATTTAGCCCAAAAATCCAAGACTTTGTATGATGAGGGAACAACCTATTACAGTTAAGAATTGAACCCACTAGGAAAAAAAAAAAAGAAGACAGATTAAGAGTGAAAAAATTCAACCAAACCCATCAATGGCAGTTTTTGACAAACCGGTTCGGATGGATCCGATCTTAAATTAGAGATGATGCCATGATGCCTGAGCGAAGGAGGTAGAAGGTTTGAGAAGTTAGAGGTAGGCACCTTTCTTATATTTTACTTAATTACTATAGTGGGACCACGTTCACAGAAGAGCCATGAAAGTACCAAAAATCCTTTTATTTTTATTTTATTTTATATATTTTTTAGAGCAAAGATCCTCTAGAGTGATTTTTTTCTAAAATTTCCTAGAGCGTTACATTGTGTGGTTCAGATTCACTGGCAAGTTATATCAATTTTTCTGATGTGACTTGCCAGTAAATCTCAATCATACAATGTAGCACTCTAGAAAACTTTAGAGAAATTTCACTCTAGAGGATCCTTGGTGTATTTTTTAAGCATATCCACCGTTGATCATCCCATCCCATTCTTCCTGTCAGGCACCAGAACCATCTTCTCATATCTATAAATAGGTCCCTCACTCTTTTTCACTCTCACCATCATCACATTGTTCTAAGCTCTCCTGCAATATCTTCTTCTTGTGCATAAAAAACACACTTTTCATTCTTTCTTTTTTTTTCTTTCTGTTTTGAAAACTCCAATAATCTTCAAAGCATGTCTCTCATTCCAAGCTTTTTTGGTTCCCGACGAACCAACGTCATGGACCCATTCTCCCTCGACATTTGGGACCCCTTAGACGGCCTTTTCAACTTCTCCATTTCTGATCGCGAAACCTCTCAATTCGCGAATGCGCGGATTGATTGGAAGGAGACCCCGGAACGTCACGTCTTTAAAGCTGACCTTCCGGGACTGAAGAAAGAGGAGGTGAAGGTGGAGGTGGAAGAGGGGAGGATTCTCCAGATAAGCGGGGAGAGGAAGAAGGAGCAGGAGGAGAAGAACGACAAGTGGCACCGGATCGAGCGGAGCAGCGGGAAGTTCCTAAGGAGGTTCCGGTTGCCAGAGGATGCTAAGGTGGAGGCGGTGAAGGCTAGCATGGAGAATGGGGTGCTGACTGTTACTGTGCCTAAGCCTAGGGTGGAGGAGAAGAAGCCTGAGGTTAAGTCCATTGACATCTCTGGCTAAAAGACTAACATAGTCTTCTTTTCTCTTGCTTTGCTTTCACTGTATTTTTATTAAATAAAAAATTGTTATGTGAGAGAATGGAGTGTAAGAGCTATAGAAAATGGTGTGAACTTTGTTGCTCGCTTTGAATAAATAAAAAAGTTCTTACTTTTGTAAGAGGGGATAACTTGACCCACTAATTAATTGGATTCAAATGGATTCAATTAAAACCCAATCGAAAAATTTAAAAATTGGTGAGTTTGAAAAAATTATTGTCAAATATGTCAAGTAAATTCTATTGAACGGGTCCAAAAGAAAGCTAATAGATTGGGTCGACGAAGACCTATCAAGCAGATATCTCTAAAGACAGTTTTATAAGCCCATCTGAGGAGGCTCAAATCATACGGGTGTTCGAGGAAGTTAACCATTTCTTTTAGAAGAGATGAAACCCTCGGAGGAGATCCATGCTCTGAGGTATTAGCTTAGTTTTGAAAGGGTTTGGAACCACGAACCTAGAGAGCTATTTTGAGCTCGGACTCGAAAAGGTTCGGATTCATGAACCTAGAGATTCGAAGTGCTTGGCTTCAAACCGATTCGGACGCAATTTAGAAGCCGCTCCATTAATAAGTCCTAGAATACTTGCGGGCTTGGAGCTTTCTGAAATCAATGCACCAGAGCTATGGGCGTAACAGAGTTTGCATAAAGGACCTGAGCTCGAGGACGGTGAGTGGAGATAAATTCACTCTTCAGTTAAACTAGCCTATACTCGAGTCAAGGTGGCACGATCTAGGGGATCCCTGAGACTCGATAATATTTACGGCAGGGCGTTCTCTTGAACTACCCTTAACTCTTCTGCGGTAGGACGTCCTCTGGGACTACCCCTGACCCCTTGGGATAATTGGAGATCATTGGTTATGTGTGACTAAGAAGAAGGGTTCGCTGAGAGGTTGATCTCTTCTTCGGGATTTTTCTCATCCTCAGAGAGGTCACCTTCTCAGACAAAGTAGTTAGAGGAAATATTCTCCATGTGCCATGCACATGGGCTCCATCCTACATCATGAGGTGTCTATAAATAGCACCTATCCATAGCCTTACAAAAGTTAGATTTTGGAGGGACAACTCTTGGGAAAGAACTAATTTCCTTTCTCCATTATCTACCCTGAGAGTGAAAGTGGGAGATCCATGAGAGAGCCTTACCATTATTCTCTCTCTAACTTTTTTACTTCTTCTTCACTCAATCTCTTATCTCCATCATCTCTTTACTTTTATGTTTTTAATTGTGACTGTTGAAGAATCTAAGGCTCTGTTTGGCACAACTCTCAAATTATAGTTTCACATATTGATTTGAGTGTATTGTTTATTTTGAGCTTTCAAATCATAATTCTACACCCATTTCTCAAAACTCAATTCAAAATATAATCATTCAGTGTGTTTGGTTTGAGTTTTCTAGATTAAGTTTTTTGAAAACTGAGTTTTTTGGTTTTCGTATTCTTTTGTTTTTAGTGAATATTTTTTAAATTTTAAACATTTTTTTTTACTTTTTTAGATGTACTTTAGTTAGATGTATCTAAAAAGTAAAAAATTTGTGAAAAAATATTTTAAAAAATTAATAAATACATAGAAATACAAAAAATATACTGAATTCTTGTATTTTTTTTTTTTTTTGTATTTTTGGTATTTAGTGAATTTTTTTTAAAAAAAAATTTCAATTTTTTTACTTTTTAGTATATTTATGTTAAGTGTGTCTAAAAAGTAAAAAAATTGCTTAAATATTTAAAAAATCAGTAAAAATAAAAAAATACGGAAAATAAAAAAGTAGAATTTTTGAAAAGTGTTTTCTGAAAAGAGAAAACAAGCAAGCTTTCAAAACTCATAACCAAACACTTAATTCAAAACTCTTTCAAAACTTAATTCAAATCAATATTTTAATTTTTTAAATATTTAAATATTTAAAAATATTTAATTTTGTTAAGATTTTAAATATTTTAATATTTAAATATGTTACGATTTTTTTAATTTTTTTAATTTTTTGAATATTTTTAAATATTTTAATTTCAAAATATTACGATTTTAATTTTTTAAATTTTAAATATTTTATAAAAATAAATTCAAACTCTATTTTATAAAAATATTTTTAAATATTTTAATTTTTTTGTTATGTTTTTTGTTACGATTTGAGTGTAGAGTTGTGAAAGTAGTATGGAGTTTCGAGTTATGTGTTTGGTTGCGAGTTTTAAAAATAATTTCTTAATTGAGTTTTATTTTATGTGTTTGGACACGATTTGAGTGTAGATTGTTTTTAAATTTAAAATATTAACATTTAAAATTATTTAAAATTTTTGAATATTTAAATTATTTAATTTTTACGATTTAAAATTTTTAAATATTTATTTTGAAAAAAAATTATTTCCTTTGTAGTATTTTCAATTAAAAAATTGATTAATGTTATTTTCTGTTAATAACAAATTTTTTTAATTGAATTTTAGAAAAAGTTTGGTTATGAATGTTGATCAGAATTTTTTATACCGTGAAAGTAGTGTGGTTTTGTTATGAGTTATAACAATTTGAATTAAGTTTTGAAAACTCTTTCCAAAACTCATAACCAAACAAATTTTCATACTTCAAATGTCAAATCAAACTTTCAAAACTCAATTCTACACTCAATTCAAAACTCAATTCAACACTCTCTTCAAAAACCATAACCAAACAAATTTTCTATACTCAAATCATAATTCCACTACTTATAAACTCAAAATACAACTCCTACTCTCAAATCATATTTACAAAACTCCACCAAACGCAATCTAAGTTTCTTATCATTTCTAGAGAATTCGAGTTTTCTTCAAAAATTTTCGCATATTCTAACAACATTCTTGAACCATCTCATACAACTTTTATATTGTTTATTACTAGGCACCAATTTAAATATTGGTCAATATCAAGTAATATGTAAAAATTTAAAATTTCAAAACTGATGTATTTGTTAATTTTTACAACCCTGACTATGGTTATCATTTTTGTTAATTAAGGAGTCTGAAATACGTACAAATATTTTGCCTAAGGTTAACTACTCATAGTCATAGTAATGAGAATTATCAGAGTGCTACCATCTCATTGGGAATTTTTTTAGATATACTAAATATACTTAAAAAGTAAAAAATTTGTGAAAAAAATCTTTTAAAAATTCACTAAATACCAAAAATATAAAAAAAAAAAAGAGAATTCAGTACATTTTTTGTATTTTTATGTATTTAATAATTTTTTAAAATATTTTTTCACAATTTTTTTTCCCTTTTAGATATATCTAAGTAAGGTGCATCTAAAAAATTAAAAAAAAATGTTTAAAATTTTAAAAATATTCACTAAAAATAAAAAAATAAAAAAAATAAAAAACTCAATTTTCAAAAATCTTAATTCAGAAAACTCAAACCAAACATACTGAATGAATTTTCAAAATCACGGGAATTATTTTAGTTCATTGTAAAAGGTTCATCCGTGCAAATTTTGAGAACCATAGGCCCGAAATAGGTTTGAAAATTTCGATTTAGTAAAAATCGTTCCAGAATTAATGAATAACAGGCCGAGCCAAGCCCAGGTTTGTGAGTGACTGTAGGGATAAATTCGTCTCAAAAAAATTATAAATATGTGATGCGTTGCTTTATCTATTAAAATTTTAAAGCAGGACTTTTTGAATTAAAAATCGATAAGATGTCCTTTTCTCCATTACAAAATTATAGAGTGACTTTTAATTATGTGGTTAAATGAATCAACCTATTCGAACTGGATTTGTATTTGGATTCTTAAGAATTCGAATTGGATTTGTATTTGGATTTGGATTTTTGAAAATTCTCTTAAGATTAACTCATTATATAAATAAGTCAAATTTAAATATAATTTTAAGTTTCTTAAGTTTTTTAAGTTAAATTTAAACAATTTGTTACTCGATTTAATAAACTTGTATGTGTTATAAATAATCAAGCAATTTAAACTCTACTTGTATTTGGTTCGTTAAAAAATTTATTCGAGATCATCTTATTATGTAAATAAAGTCAATTCTAAATATAATATTAAACTCATTAAATTAAATTATTCAATCAAGTTTGAAAACCTTGCTATTAAAGAATGTTTTCGGCCTTTTTAATTAAAGTTTCTCTCTACTTAGTGCTATTTTGAAAAGATGGTTAAAAATTATCTTTTAATTTTTAATTTATTTTAAATTGTATCATCTTTTATATTTTTTACATATTTTTTTTAAAAAATAAAATATTAATTTTTAACTACCTTTCTAAAATAACTTGAAGAAAGAGATCTGTACAAAATGAGATAGGAAAAAACAATACTGCTGACGGAAGGAGGTCAAATTATTCACTTTCTTAAAGCAAAACAAGAGGAGCAGAGAGAGAGAGAGAGAGGGGTAAAAGACTTTTTAAAAAAAAACTTGCTTGTTTTTATTTTTCAAAAAATACTTTTTAGAAAATTTTATTTTTTTATTTTTCGTATTTTTTTATTTTTATTGATTTTTTTAATATTTTAAGCAATTTTTATATTTTTTAGACACAGTTAACATAAATACATCTAAAAAGTAAAAAAATTGTAAAAAAAATCTTTTAAAAATTTACTAAATACCAAAAAAATAAAAAAAAACAAGAATTCAGTATATTTTTTTATATTTTTATGTATTTATTAATTATTTAAAATATTTTTCACAAATTTTTTACTTTTTAGATACATCTAACTAAGGTGCATTAAAAAAATAAAAAAATGTTTAAAATTTAAAAAATATTCACTAAAAACAAAAGAATACGAAAATAAAAAAACTCAATTTTCAAAAAACTTAATTCAGAAAATTCAAACCAAACACACTGAATAATGCTACATAGTTACTTAAAGGATTGCTACGCGAATACATTAAAAAAAATTAATTAAAAACTAGAAAATAAATTTTGAAAAACAAAAACAAAGAATGCTGACTACATATAATAAAAGGCTTATTTTGACAACTAAGCTAAAAGTTAATTTTTTAATTTTTTTTTGATTTATATAATCTTTTATTTTTTTTGTATACTTTTTTTAAAAATTAAAAAAAATCAAAAAATTAACTTTTTACTTGTTTTTCAAAATGGGCTAAAAGAGTAAGCAGTTAGACAAAAGGAGTTTCCTCAGTTATTGCTAACACA